GATTTCTCAAAAGAGACCTTGTAGACAAGAAGGGGCTGGAAAGAAGTATTCCAAGTCATGAAATGCAAGGACCTACATCCAAGATTGCTCTATCCAGTGAAGCTTTCATTTAGAATGGAAGGGCAGATAAAGTGCCTCTCAGATAAGGTCAAGTTCAAGGAGTTCATCATCACCAAGCCCTTATTATATGAAATGTTAAAGGAACTTACCTAAGAAAAAAAAAGATAAAAAATATGAACAGTGAAAGGACAGCAAACTCACAGTTATTAACGACCACATCTAAAACAAAAACAAACTAAGCAGACATCTGAAACAGGAGCAGAGCCACAGAAATGGAGATCACATGGAAGGTTAGCAACAGGGGAGTAGGGGGAGGAGAAGGGGGGAAAAGGTACAGAGAATAAGCATAAATGGCAGGGAGAAAATAGGGAGAGGGCAAGAGTAGTGTGGGAAATGTAGAAGCTAAACATGAACTAAAGGGGGGAATATGGGTGGGAGAGGGTGTGCAGGGTGGAGGGGAATGAAGGGGGGAAATGGGATAACTGTAATGGCATAATCAATAAAATATGTTAAAAACACACACCTTGGACTCCATAGTGAAGACAGAATAAGCCCACTTTTTTTGAAGAGGACATGTGACTTTCAGAGGCATCAGGTCCCACCTCCCTCCCCTGTGGCTGCTGCGCACCCCTCAGTGCAGAGCACAGGTTTGTCTGGTCTGAAGTCTGAGAAGAAGAGGTGACTTGCCTCATATCAAATAACTTAGCACATTTAAGAAGTGAATCCGAGTGTCAGGAATACCCACCAGGCCTGTCCATGCCCCACACCAGTTTGTGGGGGCTGAACTTCCGCAGGCTCACCTACTCACCTGTGGATAGCACCCACTCCATCCCAGGCGAAGTGTGCTGACTCAGCATTTTTGTCTTCCCTACTTTTAGTCTTCAGGTCTCCTTGCTGACCCTCTACTCCATCTGTCAAAAATATGCAAGGACTCACTTCCCCTCACTCTGCCAGAGCCCATCATGACCTGTATGTGTCATTGGGTTCTAGTACCTGTCCCCACAAGCGATATTTTCAGGGTGGCTCCCTGCTTCTTTGGCTCAAGGGAGGACAATTCAGTTACCCCAGAGACCATTCATTCATACACATCCCATTGTTCTATAGGGTCGCCCAGCCTGTCTCCTCCGAGAAGCTGTCCCCTCAGTCAGCCCTCCTTCGCCTTTCCCTACAGTCCCTTCACTTTCCTCTCACTGGCTGCTGCAGTTCTCTGTTTTCTGTCCTTCGAAGTGTCCCTGTGGTCAAATGGGCTGCAGGCTCTCTGCTGAGTGCGGCCAAGTGTGCCCTGGCCTCTGCTGTCTTTCCCCACAGCACTCCTTCCCCCTCCGTGGTCCCTCAGGTCCCCATTTGTTGTTTGGATTTTGTTTTGACTTTGGGGTTGTTGTCTTTTTTACAATTTTTAATTTTTATTTATTGACCGACAAAATGATTTTTATAGTATCGTTGAAGTGTAAAATATCTCCATTCAAAACCTTTTTTCAAAACTAGTGTTCTTTTTTTAATATATTTTATTGATTATGCCATTACAGTTATCCCATTTCCCCCCTTCATTCCCCTCCACCCTGCACACCCTCTCCCACACACATTCCCCCCTTTAGTTCATGTCCATGTGTCATAAGTTCTTTAGCTTCTACATTTCCCACAGTACTCTTGCCCTCCCCCTGTCTATTTTCTCCCCGCCATTTATGCTACTTATTCTCTGTACCTTTTCCCCCCTTCTCCTCCCCCTACTCCCCTGTTGCTAACCTTCCATGTGATCTCCATTTCTATGGCTCTGCTCCTGTTTCAGATGTCTGCTTAGTTTGTTTTTGTTTTTGTTTTAGATGTGGTCATTAATAACTGTGAGTTTGCTGTTCTTTCACTGTTCATATTTTTTTTCCTTAGGTAAGTTCCTTTAACATTTCATATAATAAGGGCTTGATGATGATGAACTTCTTGAACTTGACCTTATCTGAGAGGTACTTTATCTGCCCTTCCATTTTAATTGAAAGCTTTGCTGGATAGAGCAATCTTGGATGTAGGTCTTTGTCTTTCATGACTTGGAATACTTCTTTCCAGCCCCTTCTTGCCTACAAGGTCTCTTTTGAGAAATCTGCTGACAGTCTGATGGGAATTCCTTTGTAGGTGACTGTCCCCTTATCTCTTGCTGCTTCTAGAATTCTCTCCTTCATTTAAATCTTGGCTAATGTGATTATGATGTGCCTTGGTGTGTTCCTCCTTGGGTCCACCTTCTTTGGGACTCTCTGAGCTTCCTGGACTTCCTGGAAGTCTATTTCCTTTTCCAGATTGGGGAAGTTCTCCTTTATTATTTGTTCAAATAAATTTTCCACTTGTTGCTGTTCCTCCCACCCTTCTGGTACCCCTATAATTTGGATGTTGGAACATTTGAAGATGTCCTGGAGATTCCTAAGCCTCTCCTCAGTTTTTTGAATTCTTGTTTCTTCTTTTCTGTTTGGTTGTTTCTTTCTTCCTTCTGGTCCACTCCATTGATTTGAGTCCCAGTTTTCTTCCCATCACTATTCATTCCCCGTACATTTTCTATCATTTCACTTAGCATAGCCTTCATTTTTTCATCTTTAGAAGAAATATTTTTAAACATTACATGGGCAACTGGCAACCAGAATTTCCCATTCCACTTTCCCCTTCTTTCCTGCACTCAACCTGCAGCCCAGGATTCTGGTCTTCCACATGAAAGTACAAAGCATGCAAAATTCAAGTTGTATTTTCAGTCCTGTGATTTTCAGAGATATAATTTCTGGCACTAGGGAACTAAGGTCCTGACAAAGCAGATTTGCACTTAGAAAGGTCCGGAATCCCTGGGACCTTCTCCTCCCTGCCCCCAAAGGCAGCGCTTCATCATGGCATCAGTCTCCAGGGCAGAGATGGAGCCTCTGAAAAGAGAGTATCCCTCTTGCTGAGATGTGCCTGGGTTCCTGTGGAGAAGCACCATGGCACTGACTCAGCCAGCAGAGTGTGGCCTTGTGGTGCAGCTCTTGCCAGGGAGCCAGGAGGGAGGGGCAGCCACCAGCCCTTGCCAGCACAGATGGGTGTGCCACAGCCTTTGATGGGTGCACAACTTCCATGATAGAGATTGAGGACAAGATCTCTAAAGGAAAGAAGCTTTTTCTTGCCCAAACTGTGCTGTTAACTAGCCAGGAAAGTATGCATTTGGTGCTGAAACTAGCACCACATCGCCTGTAGCTTTATCTTCCAGAATTCCTTTGGCAGCTCCCTCAGACACACCCTGTTCTAGCCATCTTGGGGAGGTTGTAAATTCTCCTGGCTGCATCATTGAAATTGTGCTTGGTCATTCTCTTAGAATCTAGAGTATGATTTATTGTTTCTATATTATAATTTTCATAGGTGCTTGATGTAATAATGGTTCTATTACAAATTAAAATATTTCTCCTCTCAAGCATATAGCAACACATAACAGTATTGTAAATTTGGAAATCTGTCAAATTTGTTGTGCAGTTACCAGTTCTATGGAGAAATCTGGCTGACATGATGATGCCAAGTGCATTGAAACATCATCATGTTAAACATGCTGGATTTATTTGCAGGGGCTGTTTTTCTTAATAGATAAGAAAGCCCCATGCTGTGGGGCTTTTGTTTTTTCTCATAGTTTAAATTTTAAGCATTTAATAGAATGATTGCATGAGTATGTATACATATCTTAGCATAATACTTTTATTTTAACACCCATATTAGAGGGGGAAAATCCACTTTTCTTAACCTTCACGAAGATACTGGCTGATACACAGTTTAAGAAGATGTTATGTCTGAAATAGCTCCTAACAGATATTGGCATCTTTTATTGGTCTTATTGCTAGAAAATATTTTATATTTGTATAACTTGATAGTCATCTTTAGGTAATATTTATTAAGTACCCCCAGTGCAGTAGGGAGTTACCTTAGTTCAAAAAAATCCCCTGAGAAGAAGAATCTTAAAGAAAAAAGTCAATGTAAAACTTCTGGAGTTGAACAACAATGTGAATATATGCCATTACTTAACTGTGTACTCAAAAATAGTTAAGATGCTAAATTTTATATGATGTGATTTTTACCACTATTTTTTAAAAACTTGATGCATAGGTGAGGTGGTCTTTGAAATAACCTGTTTGCTTTTGCACATAGTTACCAAGTGGAAGTGGCGGTGAGTTTGGTCCAGACAGGGCCAGGGTGAGGCAGTCAGGAGGATGGAGCTGGGGCAGGGTGGTGGTGGGAGGCCACACTTCCCTTTCTGGTGCCTGTGCAGCCAGGAACCCCTGGATGCCACTGGGCTGAGTCACAATCCCAGGGGCACCTCCCTTGTGAGCTGGTCTGAGAAAGACAAGACCTTCCTCCCTTGCCCTGATGTTTCTGTGCCCCATCCTCTCTGACGGTGATGCCTACACCAACTGTGTCGTACTGGAGTGTACTGCTAGTCCTCAAAAAGCTCTGCATGCCAGCCAGTGCCACCCCACCCGTTCTTCCTGCTATCTGCACCCGACTGGAGCAGGTGGGTGAGCTGCCCTGCAGGCTTCACTGTTGCAGCTGTCAGCTGGAGCAGCTCCAAGTGGGGGTTTCAGTCTTGGCGCCCCATCCTCCATCTTCTGCCTCAGCCTGTTTTCTTATGACACCTTCACCCAGAAAGCACTCCCAAGGAGGGAATTTAAAGTATGTCCCAGATGAAACTCACTCAGAAAACCTTTTTTTTTTTTCATAAAAGAGTTTGGCCAGAAAGAAATTAAGCTGAGATGCACCAGGAATATAATAGGTTTCTTTAGACCATAGCCAGTTTCCTTGCCTTTAGTTTTTAGGGACTGCTTAGTATCTAGAAACTTGCAACTGGAATCAGTGATCTTTGCCATTTCCAGAGAAGGGGTGGTGGTATCTTTTGGCAGTGTATTGTTTTTTCTTTTGCTAATTTACAGTGCTCTCTTTGGCCTTGTTCCCATTAGGAGGTGAAAGCATGGAAATTAAAAAACAAATCACAGGAATGAGAAGGTTACTGAATGATAGCACTGGGAGGATCTATCAGCGTGTTGGCAAGGAAGGCGAAAAGTTAAAAGAAGAACCCCAGGATTTGGACTCCGTCTGGCCCCAGCGTTTGAACTCTGCTGAGGCCCCACAGACCCTCCACCCTTCTTCTCGGGGTGCCTGGAATGAGCTCCCAGCCCAGAGCGGGCAGTTCTCAGGGCAGTCTGGCCCCCGCGCTAGAACCTTCCAGAGTCAGTCCCACACTGCTGGGAGCTCCAACGGTATGGTCGTTATCAGGCATTTAGAATGCTCTTTTGGGGGGTTGTCTGAATGTTGTTTTATTCCTAAATGCTCACTGTGTTTAGTAAGTCCTCACTTAATGTTGTCAGGTAGGTCTTTGGAAACTGTGGCTTCAAACAAAATGATATATAATGAAACCAATTTTATCACAGACCAGTTGTTCCTGCAGCCTATTTCTGGTCACAGAATCATCACCAAACTCCTAAATAAAGACCCAAAACACTTATAATATTACACATTGAAGTAAATGTGAGCTATCTATATATTTAAGAAAGGTGAATAAAAATAAGTAAGAGAATTCTTTTCCAACTCACTGATTCCAGTTCAGGATCGTGGGTGTCCAGAGCCCCTCCCAACAGCTCAGGGTGCAAGGTGTGCACCCACCCTGGACAGGATGCCCTTCCGTCCCAGGGCCACTCACGCCCACACTCACTCAGACTGGGACGACGGCGACACTGCGGTGGACTTCAGGTGCACATCATTGGGATATGGGAGGAAACCCAGACAGACATGGGGAGACATGCCAAGTCCAGACAGTGCCCTTGGTCGCGAATTGACTTTTCTCATCAATGATATAAGAAAATGACACTAACGCTGTTTGTTAAACCCTACCTTAACGCCTGCCTTAGTTGAGTTATTTTAAGAGACAGGTAAGAAAGACATAGAGGAAAAAGTTGCAGAATATAAAATATCAGACTTGAGAATCAGGAAAGACTGGGGTTCTATAGTAGAACTGATGATTTCCTTGAGATTGTAGTCCTTTAAGAAGTTGTAGCTGCCCTAAGCTGAGGTGCAGATTTTGTCACAAAAGACTGAACCCCCTGGGGCAGAAAGAGCGCCCTCCCCTTTGTCATTAAAAGAAGATTCCTGGTTGTGTGGTGTATTATTGATACATCCTCTCACTTACACTGTTGCTTTTCTTCATCATCAGAAGAGTCGTAGTTAAAAGGAGGGACTGATAACCTAGCACCCCAGTCCCTGTTTTAACCCCACATCCCAGCTACTGAACCAAACCATCCATGTTTTATAACTTGCTTCATTAGGGTAGAAATGTATTTCTTTAGCATAAAATTTCCTTAATTGAAACTTCTAATTGTTTAGAAAAAAAATCAAATGGGACTTTTTTTTCCCAAAGCTTACGGGAAAAATGGATGATTTTTTTCCAGTCATGTTAAGTTTCCTCCAGTGACATTGGATGTTCCTTGTCCTATGAATGATGTATAGATGTGCATACCTATATAGTTCCCACAAGAAAAAAGTAAAAATTCATTTCCAGTTTCCTTGAAAAGTAAAGGATTTTTCCCATGTGTTATCCTTCAAGATTGAGAGAATTGGTTTGATTATTATTTTTTTAAACACAATTTGCAGTAACCAGTTCAGATGCATGAAAAGCCATCCTGGGACACTGCTGATGAGACCCGAGGGACCCGAGGAGGAGTACCAGTGTCTTCTCTTTCTCTGCCGCATAAGTCAACATCAGATTCATAGGTTGGCCTGCTTCCAGCTTACAGGGAGATGGCTCTTGAAAGACTCCTTCATAAAAATAAAAAGTCAGTTCTCTTTCAAATTAGAAAATGATTTATAACAAACCAAAAGGAGTTGGTTTTATCCTCTATTAGAAAGAATAAAGACAGTACTTAGAATAGAGATCAGGAATAGTCTACAAGGGCCCCCTGATTCTTTGGCCATGAAAGAGGCTCAAAGAGAAATAAGCTGTCCTCAGGTGTGGGTAGCGTTGGTCAGCCCCACATCAGGGAGTTCTGGGTGGACAGAGTTCTCTTTCCCAGTACACAACAAGGAAGGTGCATTTACTTTGTAGGAAAATGTTGTGTTGAAAGCTACTAACATAAATTCCTTGGTATTCATTTGAAAATAGATCTTTTTTGTGTTTGTTTCATCTTTTCAAAAGAAATTTATCATATATAACTGACTGGTATGTCACTGAAATTATTTGCAACTTTTAGGTGTTATAACACCTCAGTTTGCTACAATTTTGAATGTAAATAATTATGCTCCCCCAAACACTGTTATCTAAGTATTCCATAGTTTTGCTGTGGTGAATTTTTCTATAGCATCCACAACTAATGAATATTATAGGATTTAGATTATATACAATGTAAAATAGAAGATGTGACTGGACCAAAACCTTACCTTACCTCTTCCACCTATGAAAAAACCTAAGTGGTGGCAGTGACTCACTTTATGGGAGTGGGGTTGGGTGCCGATGCTAGCGGGGGCGCCGGGAAAGCGTGGTTTTCCAAGTATTCCCTTTTATTCTAAGGACGGTAGGGAGATGTTTGTATGCTTATAAGGGAAAAAGAACAGGATACTTATTTTAAGGAAAATATGTTGGATTGAAACAGTGAAAAAGAGACTAAAATGATGGAACTATAAGAATTGGGAATGGAAAAAAGATATAGGCTGATTGCTTTATTAAGTTGGAGAAAAGCCAGCGCATCAACACCTTCTGACCCATCAAGATCAGCTGTATCCTCCCATACATACCCTGTCTCCCCACTCTTCCCCACCCTGCACCCAGAGAGCACCCTAAAAGTTTTAGTGGGTTGACAGTTCTTAATTTTTGAGATAACATGCTTAATACTAAGACTATTTTTCATACTTAGACCCATTTAATTCCTAATATGAACTCTTATAACACATGCAGTTGCCAGTTTTTTGTAAGGCTGTTCTCAGATCTAGTTTTTTTTTTTTTGTGCAAAATAACGTGAGCGTATTTCCAGTGGATTTTTAAGCTATTGTTATCCGAGATGAACTGGCGTGACAAAAGGAAGGCCTGCCGTGGCAGTGCATTGTTTGGGGACTTTCTTGCAGGCTCCACCACCCCATGAAATACACACACCTCATAATAAACACAGAAACCTAGATAATTAGATAAAGTCAGATGCCCAGATTCAAGATGTGAAGAATATTGGGTACATTTTCCGTAGGCACAGTCTCATAATAATTGCACCAGCTTCGAGTCCTGTCATGGTATCTTTTTTTCCTCTTTATAATTTTGGTGTTATTTGGAGTATGTCATTCTTTTCTTTCATGCTTAGGAGAACTTCCAGTGTTGAATTCGTCAGCTGGATCAAACTGCTGTACCTGTAACTGCCAGTCGACATTGCAGGCCATTCTCCAAGAACTCAAGACCATGCGGAAATTAATGCAAATTCAAGCAGGTACAAAGATTACACCTCAGATCGCGCCCTCTGATTCTTAATGCATATCTGACATCTAGAGCTGGGATGTTTAGAGGGCTTTTATTGTGGAGTTCTTCCCTCTGTGCTGTCTTGCTGTGATTTTTCAAGGGTCTGTTTTCTCAGCTTTTTCTTCAACCCATTTTCCCTTTAGGAAATCTATCGAGTTTTTTATTGTTAATACTACTACTACTCTACTTAGGTACATGTGCCCTGTATATCTTACCCCCTGATCTGCTAACACCTTACAAATATCAGTTCATTGTATTTTGAGACAGTTAAACAGGCAGGTTGGCCAAGTTCTTCAGCTCATTGCCTGGATGTGAATTGACAAAGAGGTTCCATTCCGATCAGGAAAGAAAATGAGGCTGCCTCATCGCTGACGCTCAGTTTGGGGCTGCCTGCAGCTGGACAGCGCCACTCCTGCTCGAGTCCCCATCGGGCCGCGTGGCAGTAGGGAGGCTACGAGGGTGTGGACGGGCCCTTTAGGAAGCCTGGGCTCCAGTGCTGAAGAGCGTAAACTGACAAGAGGTGCTGGCCCTCACTCTCTGCTGGTGACCTTTCTCCCTAGCATTCAGGACAGAGAAGCTCAAAGACATGTCTTGTCATCTTTGTTTACATGACACCTTTTTCTTTGTCCTCACTCCTGTTAGACAAGATGAAGAAAGAAGAGCAGTAAATTTGCAGTTTGGGGTCGGAGTTCAGTTTTTCCTCCTCTACCTGAGCGACTTCTCTGAGCCTCAGATTTCTCCTCTTACTGGAGTATTACTGTCTCACTCTCAGGGTTGTTTTCAAAAGAGAATGAAGTAGTAAATGAGCTCTGTAAAGCATGACACGAGCGTAAGCTATTTTGTAGGTGTTGTCCTAAAAACCACTGGGCATTTCCTAGAAATCTGGAAGTCTAGGTCTTCATGATATCGGCTCTAATCCTCAAAGTTAGAGGGGGAAAAGAACTTTCTTGTTACAGGTACAGAAAATAAGCAGTCGTTTTATTAAGCCTTCCCTCTTGTCAGAGAAAACTGCTTCTGGACCCTGGCCTGAAGCAGCACCAGCCTATATGACGAGCATTTCCTCCCTCCCCTTGTAAAGGCATTCACAAAGGTCAGTGTTCGGAAATTATACGTGATGCCTTTTGGTGACTTCTAGTAAAATTTTAATATGAGTCATGTGCTTTTGATACTAAGAAGTTAAATACTTAAGACATCTCAGTCGCCCAAGATCACATGAAAGAAAGTAAGGTGAACAAAAGGCTCTCTGAAGGGCAGCATCTAATTTTACGTGCTGAATTTGGTTTGACTGCAAGGGGGAAAAGCATTTTGGTCAGGTCAGTAAGCATTTACCTCACCTTGTTCCACCATGATGACCTGTGTTCTTACTAACCCAGCTGGAAAGGCTCACATCTCCTAAATAAGGAACTCAGAAAGAAAAGTTACTTCCCTGTGTACAGATTCTGTTTTCAGAGGAAAAATTTGTTAGCACCTAAGAAAATATGCATAGGCAATTGTAATGATTTATTTTGTTACTTAAGCTCCTTACCACTGAAATGGCAACTATAAAAGTGGTTTTAGAAACTTTTAAGTAAATGCCACTTTGTTGCAATGTTTTCTTTTCTGAACCTTTGCAGATTAGGGCAGTAGTGAGTCCAATGGTGTATAGAAGGGCAGAAAGGATCAACTGAATAAATTACTCTTCTTTAACTTAAGAATTTGTTGTGTGGTTAGGGTTTATTGCCTTTAAGGTTCAATTCAGTTTATATATATATTTAGAAAGTTTTATTTTTAAGAAGACAAGAAGTAGGATCGAGCGATAAGATCTGGATGCAAGAAACTTTAGCTATGTCTAGACTTGCAAAAGGAGAAGAAAACTCAGTCCCTTGTATTTTTGAAACCAAAAACATTTTCACTTGTAATTTAGAATAGTGAGGCTTGGAGAATTGTGTGTTCTACACTTGACAGTTGCTTCAGCTGTCCGCTGGACTTTGGGGATACTCAAAAAAGATACTTTGTTGCCTTGGGTGAAATTTTGGAGAGAACAGAGAAAAGCTCTGCACTCCAGCACTTGAGGAGCTTTAGAAAAATCTCAGTGCCTGGGCACCAACCCTGGATGGAATTCCATTTCAATTAGTCCGGGGTGAGGCTGAAGTGCTGAAGCTTTTTTTAAGCTCCAGGGTGATTCCAGTGTACAGCCAGGTGAACTCAGAACCCAGTGAGCTCAGGGAATTCCTGTACTGGTGATGAAAAACGCTTCAGTTTACATGCAGTGCAAGTACAATAGTTCATTTCTAACACTTGGTTATAAATTTCTCTCAGCCTGGAGATGAAAATACCAGGTTTAGAGTATGACTGTTCTTTATTTGCAATCTACATTTATTTGCAGTTAAAGATCTTCAATTTTCATTTAACATATTTATAGGTATGTGACTGTAAAAAGGCAAGCATACCCTGTGGTCACATTTAGTAAGCCATATCAACACATGAAAATTTAAGTAACAAGGCCATATTTTCCTATTAAACTTTCCATGAGAGCATTCGTAAATATTAACAAATACTACTTTTCAGACTGCACCTGTGAAAATTATAATTACCATCCTTGTTTCTTTAAGCAAATTTTCAGTATTAGTACTTAGTTCTTATTCAGTGCTTTTCATCTTTTCTGGATATTACTCATTTGCTCGACTTGTATAGAACTATATTATTTCTACTTTTCAGCCACATAAAACTGAGGTGCAGAGAAGCAGCCTAGTCTGAACCAGCAGTGTAGTGCTGCGGAGACAGTTGATGTGCAGACAGTACTGGTTTGTGAGGAAGGAGTTACTGGACCTGACAAGTGACTAGCAGGCCTTGCCCACATGCTCCCTAGTGCACACACACTGGTCATTCCAGACGGGTTCATTTGCTCAGCTGCTCAGTCTTACCCAAATGATCGTCTTCGTCCAGTCTTTGTCAGTTTCAGTGCTAGCAACTAACTGATCAGTTTAACTCCAAATGGCATTTGGAATATTCCTGAAACTGGCTTACCCGAAAGCATGGACATCTATACCTCAATTTAAGTTCAGAGTTCTCACTGATATAAAAATGTCACATGATTTGTAAAATGACGCTCAGGTGCTTTCTCATAGCTCATCATCCTTTTCTTTCACTGAACCCAGCAGTAGCAGTACAATCAATTATTCACCAGCATCTACAGCAGAGTTCTCCCTTGGGTGTTTTTCTGCCGGTAGAACTTTAAGGTGCTCCAGAGCCCACATTTGGTAAAGCCAGGTCCAGCATGCTTTATTTTGTTCTGGCATGCTTTGTCCTTGAGTGAGCCCCATGGCAGTCTCAGCTTGTGGAGTCTGCAGATAGATGGGTGCTAAGTTTTTTCTAAATTGGCACGGGTGCCTGTACCATATTTTTGTTTATTGTTCACAGTTGGAACCCAAAACAGACAACAACCCCCGATTTCCCTTATATGCTCCCAGCGAACTGCTGTTTCACGCAAGAGAAATAAAAAGAAAAAAGTGCCCCCTAAGACTGTTGAACCTCTTACTGTGAAACAGAAGCCCAGTGTGTTAGAGACTGAGAAGAAGACAGCTGTGGCCTTGGAGCAGCCCGCCCTCCAGGCGGCTGAGCACACCTCCGCCTCGGAGAACCACGTCCTGGGATTTGGCATTGTTCTGGAATCGCCTTCCTCAGATGTAAGTTGATTTTTTCTGACGCTAAAGTGATGTAACTGTCAGGAATTTTATCATATTGCTACACTTTCCTCTTAACTCATGCTGCCCAGGCAAACTGGAAAAACTTGCAGAGTACATGTGGGAAATAAGAAAGGAAGACAATGAATAATTTGCTTGCCTAGAATTTCCTCTTCTGAAAATCTTATGCCTTATTTATTTAAGCATGCTTCCATTCTGTATCTCTGAAAGAAGAAAGGTTATGGTGTAAGTAATCTACTCACTAATTTCTCTAACATTTTTAATTTTGAAGTGGCCATTTTCAATTTCCTCAGTATAGTGAGCTAAAAGAACATAATTAAATCCTTTGTAAAGGAACGTAAATGAACTGAACCCTACAGATAAAGTCATACCTTTCTGGAAACATAAACTAATAATAAAAAAGGAGCAGTAATGCTAATTCTCTTTTATAGATGTGAACTACACTGCTAATTAGGCTGCAGTGTCATGTCATTTACTCTGTGTAATGATAGGTTAATGCTCTGCAAAGATTTTTCTATTTTAATATCATAGCCAGAATTTTGTTTCAAGTCCAAGATGTTGGATGATGTCTGCAATATCCATCTGACTTGCCACTTTATATTCAATGACCATGCACTAATTTTGCTAATAGTGTGCTGTATGTGCAATTGCATACTCTCTTTATAGTATCTAAGCACCTTGATGTTGTAAACCCCAACTAGTTGGGAGAGTTCTTAAATAAGAATGAGTGATCTATTATTATCAAATTGCACAGAATGAGAATCTTGCTGAGAACTCCCACAGGCCTATAGGGGATTGGAGTTTGGCCCTACCTTTTAAATAAGAAATAAATCGCTGTTTTAATAAAGTGCTCCCTTTCACATTGCACAGGAAGACAGTTTGCTAGCATGTATCCACTTCGGGTCCTTAAGAAAGGGAGGCAACAAAAATAATCATCTTGTGACTTTTTTAGACCAGAAAACCATTTGAACTTTTATTTAATCCTTAGTGTCAAAGATTTTTTGTTTTAGGTTTTGGTTTTTTTTTAAGATTGTATTTATTTATTTATTTTTAGAGAGAGGGGAAGGGAGGAAGAGGGAGAGAAACATCAGTGTGTGGTTGCCTTGCACACCTCCTGCTGGGAAGTTGGCCCTAAACCCAGGCATGTGTCCTGACTGGGAACTGAACTGGCGACACTTCAGTTTGTAGGGCAACATTCAATCCACTGAGCTACTTGAGCCAGGGCTGTTTTAGTTTTTATTTATGAACATATGCTATAGTTGTTAAGAAGTTCTAGACTAAAGCTTAATTTTTTTAGAGAGAATTTTTTAAAAAATACTTTAAAAATATTTTTAAATTTTATTTGTCTTTAGAAGGGAAGGGAGGGAGAGAAGGAGAGAAATATCAGTGTGTGGTTGCTTCTGGTGCATCTTCTGCTAGGAACTGGCCCCTGCTGGGAACTGGCCTGCAACCCAGGCATGTGCCCTGACGGGAAATCAAACTGCGATCTTTTGGTTCGCAGGCCCGTGCTCAATCCACTGAGCTACACCAGCCAGGGCTTAAAGCTTAATTTTAAAAAATCATTAATGATGATAATGTTTTACCCTGGGCCAGTCAGCACCTTTGATTCAATTATATTGTTATTGCAACTGAGGCTCTGGCTTTGAAACCCATGTAGATCACATGTTTGGAAACAGAGGGAAATTACTCCATAACACAAAGTACTTTCAATCCTAAACAATTTTCTTAATACTTTAACATTTTCCTTAGCACTCTTTTTTGATAGGCATTGATGCATCAGGAGCGATCATTTGAGTTGTGTAAAACATCTCTTAAATGGGTTGATCTAATGCTAATAACTGAATTATTCTCTTTTTAATTTTTTAAGCTCCAGATGTACTCCAAAGATAAATTGAGAAATAGCTGATAAAAGGCCTTATGTATTTTAGTGAAATAGAATTTTTTATCTTTACTAGTATCAATAATATAATTTTATTTATATACCAAATAAATATAATTTGCTTTTTATTCATGATTATTTTTTGCTAACAAGAGCTACTAAATTTATTAATGCACATTCATAATTGTCCAAAATGAAATTGCTTTTTATGAAAACTCAGTTAGGTGCTTATTACCTTGATGGAAGAGTAACATACTTGCAAAGAAAAGCAAAATATATATGTGGATATTATCCATACATTATTCAACTGACAAGCTATTTCATTCATCTCTTCAACGGAAACTCACTGCAGCTAGGGGACTGTCCAGTGTGTCCCATCATTGGGCAAAGACATTTTGTCCATGGATGGTGCATTGGCATTAATGAGACTGGGCTGTGAAGTCTCTGGTGGAGGACACTGACTCCGGTAGGTGACAGGACCATCAGTGCTAAGGCATCCAAACTTAGGTGCCTTTTAGTCTCCTTATTACTTAGCCATGAGCTCTTTAAACTTTGCTGGAAGTGCAGAGGAGAAAACAAAATATATAATAATATTATAGGAATTTTTTATAAAACAGATTAGATGGGAATTGTGTGATTGAAGCTGGACTCTGAACAGTACCCAACACTGGGAGGATTAGGTCCAAAGTTGTATGATTGACAAGCGTTCCAATGTTGCCAGAACAGCTGTCTGGCCGGCATTGGTAGCAGATGATGATATGAAAGCAGGGCGGGGCGAGTCGGTGAAAGCTGTGGAATGACTTGCAAGTGCCCTTGGCCTTTACCTCGTGGGCACTATGGAACCATTGCAAGTTTCAAGTAGAGAAATAATCACACCTTTGTTTTAGAATGGAAACAGGAACAATGTTGTGGATGATAGATGGAAGAAGATAACAGAGACACACAAACCAAAGGAAGATGCAGTCAGCCAGAGGCTGGGAGGGTCTGTGCTCATGCAGTGAGCCTGAAGAGATGAGAGACCTTTGGGAGGTACCTGTGCAGAGAACTTGGTGACTCAGAAGGAAAGAACCTCCAAATTTCTAACTTGGAAAACTAGGTTGGTCACTAGATTGTCCTGACTTCTTCAACTGAGATTGGGAAAGGAAGGACAGAAGCAGCCTTCAACTCTGGGTGGGAAGTAAAAGTAGGTTTAGTATCCTCAGAAGGCTGATTAGATATTTGGAGCACAGGAGAAAGATTAGAGGTAGAAGCAATGAAAAAAATAACATAAAATCTATGCTTTATAACTTTTTAAAAAATCAGTTTTAATTATTTGTTAATAAATATTTTATTTATTTATTTTTATGGAGAGGGGAAGACGGGGAAAAAGAGAGGGAGAGAAACATCAATGTGTGGTTGCCTCTCATGTGACCCCTACCAGGGACCTGGCCCACAACCCAGGCATGTGCCCTGACCGGGAATTGAACTGGCAACACTTTGGTTCACGGGCTGGCACTCAATCCACTGAGCCACACCAGCCAGGGTATTTTATTACCTTTTTTAAATGTAAAAAAATAGTATACAGTCTTAAAAATTCACAAGGTATTACCTTTTTTATGCTATGCCTTTTAAAGTCACCCAAATACAGATTTGTTCATCTATGCACAAACACAAACATAAGCACCCTGGGACTGTAGGTGGTTGCAGGGAGCACACAGATAATGGTTATCTGTGCTTAAAGGAGAAACAACAGTGAGCTCTCATCACATCCAACTGCAGCGTCGACACCTCGGAGGCTTGTAAACACTAGATAATACAGAGAATGTGGGAAACTCCTGTTGCAGTGCCTTGCACATAGAAGGTACTCAATACAGGTTACATGTATTTGCATTAAGTTTAATACACAAAATAAACTTACGAAACTTTGGGTCTAGGACTTGGCTTTAATTTAGAACCCTCCTCTCAATTTAACTCCCATTTTCTCACTCTTGTTACCACCTCCCCCAAAGCACCAATATAATTTCAAAAGATCTTCCTTATAGAACTTTCTATACTGGTCTGTAATGTTTGTTTACTATCCTTCGCTAAATAGTTATCACATTTCATGCTTACTCTGTGGCATGATTATTATTGTCATTTTATAAATAAAGAAACCATGGCATAAAAGGCTTAAGGCACATGTTCACACAGCCAGAAGGATGGAGTTGGTTCTCAAACCCAGGTTGGCAGTGAGTCCTTCTCTGAGCGCAAGACTCGGGCACTGTCCTATCACAGTCCTTGTACATGCCCAACACTCAGTAACTGTTTATGGGGTGATTGTTACACAGAAGAGAACTGAAAGGTGGGGCTGTGGCTGTGCTTGCTCTCAGAAGTTTCTGGGTAGCAGAACTGAATGGTTAGGTGTACAGACTCTGAAGTCAGGCTGCCTGGGCCAGAAGCTCAGCTGTATGACCCTGAGCAAGTGCACCTACCCTCACCTTCCTCAGCTCTCTCTCCATAAAATGGGGATAGTGACAGTGCTGACCTTATAGGGTTGGCCACTGGAAGAGTTAAAGTAGGCTATGTAAAGTACTTTGAATAGTAGCTAGTGAATTGTAAGTGCTCAATAAATATTGATTCTTTTTAAATCTTAGCAGACCTGGCTAAGCACCTTTATAGGGATGACTATAAGCATTTGTTAAGTAAACTTATGTGTACATATAAATGAAAAAAATAGACCTGAACAAAATAGTGGGTTTTAAAAAAATGAAAGAATGGCCAGAAATGTTCTCTTTTGGGGTAGGATTATTTGACCCATTTTTAATTAGCACATTAAATAAAATTGAAACCTAAATTACACAGACATAAAGGCAGAAACTCAAAACCCAATTTTAGATTTAAATAAAATTTTCACCCCTTCTTCATGAGTACACAACCCAAACTCAACTAGTACTCAGACGAGACAGCTGTGAAATTTTTACAGTGACTGTTTTTTTCCTACTTAGTTGGGTACATTGGTTTGTGTTTTTCAGGGCAGATATACATGGCTTAGGTCTGTTTCTTAATTGTTGCTTCTTGTTTGTCTTGATTTTTGGCTTTGGTGAACCACTAGGATTGGTTTTTTCAAATGCTTTTTAAAAACATT